TACAATGTCTCATGATTCCATGGTGCAATCTTATAATGTAGACAACAATGTCCCATAATTACATGGTGCAATCTTAGAGTGTAGACAACAATGTCCCAAGATTCCATGGTGCAATCTTATAATGTAGACAACAATGTTCCATGATGCAATCTTAGAGTGTAGACTACAATGTTCCATGATTCCATGATGCAATCTTATAATGTAGACAACAATGTTCCATGATTCCATGGTGCAATCTTATAATGTAGACAACAATGTCCCAAGATTCCATGGTGCAATCTTATAATGTAGACAACAATGTTCCATAGTGCAATCTTAGAGTGTAGACAACAATGTCCCAATATTCCATGGTGCAATCTTATAATGTAGACTACAATGTCTCATGATTCCATGGTGCAATCTTATAATGTAGACAACAATGTCCTAAGATTCCATGGCACAATCTTATAATGTAGACAACAATGTTCCATGATTCCATGATGCAATCTTATAATGTAGACAACAATGTCCCAAGATTCCATGGCACAATCTTATAATGTAGACAACAATGTTCCATGATTCCATGATGCAATCTTATAATGTAGACAACAATGTCTCATGATTCCATGGTGCAATCTTATAATGTAGACAACAATGTCCCAAGATTCCATGGCACAATCTTATAATGTAGACAACAATGTTCCATGATTCCATGGTGCAATCTTATAATGTAGACAACAATGTCCCATAATTCCATGGTGCAATCTTAGAGTGTAGACAACAATGTCCCAATATTCCATGGTGCAATCTTATAATGTAGACTACAATGTCTCATGATTCCATGGTGCAATCTTATAATGTAGACAACAATGTCCCAAGATTCCATGGCACAATCTTATAATGTAGACAACAATGTTCCATGATTCCATGATGCAATCTTATAATGTAGACAATAATGTCCCAAGATTCCATGGCACAATCTTATAATGTAGACAACAATGTTCCATGATTCCATGATGCAATCTTATAATGTAGACAACAATGTCTCATGATTCCATGGTGCAATCTTATAATGTAGACAACAATGTCCCAAGATTCCATGGCACAATCTTATAATGTAGACAACAATGTCTCATGATTCCATGGTGCAATCTTATAATGTAGACAACAATGTCCCAATATTCCATGGCACAATCTTATAATGTAGACAACAATGTTCCATGATTCCATGGTGCAATCTTATAATGTAGACAACAATGTCCCATAATTCCATGGTGCAATCTTAGAGTGTAGACAACAATGTCCCAATATTCCATGGTGCAATCTTATAATGTAGACAACAATGTTCCATGATGCAATCTTAGAGTGTAGACTACAATGTTCCATGATGCAATTTTATAATGTAGACAACAATGTCCCAATATTCCATGGTGCAATCTTATAATGTAGACAACAATGTTCCATGATTCCATAGTGCAATCTTATAATGTAGACTACAATGTCCCATGATTCCATGGCACAATCTTATAATGTAGACAACAATGTCTCATGATTCCATGGCACAATCTTATAATGTAGACAACAATGTCCCAAGATTCCATGGTGCAATCTTATAATGTAGACTACAATGTCTCATGATTCCATGGTGCAATCTTATAATGTAGACTACAATTTTTCATGATTCCATGGTGCAATCTTATAATGTAGACAACAATGTCCCAAGATTCCATGGTGCAATCTTATAATGTAGACTACAATGTCTCATGATTCCATGGTGCAATCTTATAATGTAGACTACAATTTTTCATGATTCCATGGTGCAATCTTATAATGTAGACAACAATGTCCCATAATTCCATGGTGCAATCTTAGAGTGTAGACAACAATGTCCCAAGGTTCCATGGTGCAATCTTATAATGTAGACAACAATGTTCCATGATGCAATCTTATAATGTAGACAACAATGTTCCATGATTCCATGGTGCAATCTTATAATGTTGACAAGAATGTTCCATGATGCAATCTTAGAGTGTAGACAACAATGTCCCATAATTCCATGGTGCAATCTTAGAGTGTAGACAACAATGTTCCAAGATTCCATGGTGCAATCTTATAATGTAGACAACAATGTTCCATAGTGCAATCTTAGAGTGTAGACAACAATGTCCCAAGATTCCTTGATGCAATCTTATAATGTAGACAACAATGTTTCATGATGCAATCTTAGAGTGTAGACTACAATGTTCCATGATTCCATGATGCAATCTTATAATGTAGACAACAATGTCCCAATATTCCATGGTGCAATCTTATAATGTAGACAACAATGTTCCATGATTCCATGATGCAATCTTATAATGTAGACAACAATGTCCCATGATGCAATCTTATAATGTAGACAACAATGTCCCATGATTCTATGGTGCAATCTTATAATGTAGACAACAATGTTCCATGATTCCATAGTGCAATCTTATAATGTAGACAACAATGTCTCATGATTCCATAGTGCAATCTTATAATGTAGACAACAATGTCCCATGATTCCATGGTGCAATCTTAGAGTGTAGACAACAATGTCCCATGATTCCATGGCACAATCTTATAATGTAGACAACAATGTTCCATGATGCAATCTTATAATGTAGACAACAATGTCCCATGATTCCATGGTGCAATCTTAGAGTGTAGGCAACAATGTCTCATGATTCCATGGTGCAATCTTAGCGTGTAGGCAACAATGTCCCATGATTCCATGGTGCAATCTTAGCGTGTAGGCAACAATGTCCCATGATTCCATGGTGCAATCTTAGCGTGTAGGCAACAATGTCTCATGATTCCATGGTGCAATCTTATAATGTAGACAACAATGTCCCATGGTGCAATCTTAGGGTGTAGGCAACAATGTCTCATGATTCCATGGTGCAATCTTAGAGTGTAGACAACAATGTTCCATGATTCCATGGTGCAATCTTATACCGTAGACAACAATGTCCCATGGTGCAATCTTAGCGTGTAGGCAACAATGTCTCATGATTCCATGGTGCAATCTTAGAGTGTAGGCAACAATGTCCCATGGTGCAATCTTATAATGTAGGCAACAATGTCCCATGGTGCAATCTTATAATGTAGGCAACAATGTCCCATGATTCCATGGTGCAATCTTTGCGTGTAGGCAACAATGTCCCATGATTCCATGGTACACTGCTAGGATTTAATGTAGGTTACAGAGTGATATTCCTGGGACTAGCAATAATTCCAGAATTAGAAATTTGACAGTGAGTTGACGGTTAACGAAGAGTTAATGTATTTGTTTTGTTTTTTCGATAGGTGTATTGTATTTCTCGTCGATAGCGTCACATTTCAGAAGGATATAAAAGAAGTCGCTGAGTTATTATATAATCTTTTGAGTGACCAAGTGATATCCCACAATGCATTGCCATTCCTGATAGCATGCAACAAGACAGACATCACCACGGCTAAGTCGTCTAATGTGATAAAAATACAGCTTGAGAAAGAGATGTAAGTATCATTTGCATATTGATGAAATGGGTGTGGTTAGTGTGCTCACATGCCAAGATTGTTGATTTGAATCGACCTACTTCTCACATTAGCAGAATCAACTACCAACCTTGCATGCTGGTATGTCCTGTTCGTTTCAATTGCCTCGGCTGACTGCTCATATTAACAAGAGAAACTACAGTCTCATGTTCTTGTATTTTATGAACATTTTAATCATCATGTATGCCATTGTGAGAGTGCCATATTTTACAAAAGACTGAGATTTTGGCAAGATGATTGTTTCTATTCTTTCTAGTTAGTTCTCTACTGGAGCTGCAATTTCTGGATCCTATTTGAATTTTCTTAGTACTTTTTGTCCGAAAATACTGTTGTAAATTGTTTTAATTTGATTTATTAATTAATTTGATACAATTGATATATATATATATATATACCCTTAAATTTGACTTTGTTCATAAATGCCAACACTGAGGGCGCTGTCTGACATTATGATTCTGGACTTACCAGTTTGTTTTTTTTGTTTCATAGGAATACACTACGTATCACCCGTTCAGCTGCATTGGAAGGAATTGACAGTTCAGGAAGTAACAAAACGTATCTTGGAAAAAAAGGCAAAGACTTTGAATTTTCCCATCTTAAACCAATTAAAGTTGACTTTGTAGAGTGTAGTGCTAGGGGGGCCAAAAGTGAAGAAAGTGAGGGTGATATTAGTGAGATTGAGAAATGGTTATATCAAGTTTCATAATCAATGAATATTATATTAATGTAACCTTTTCAACTGACCTCTGTAATCTGACACATTTAGTCTTCTTATGTTTTTGGTAGATGCAGTTGATCTTACACATTCAGTTTACTTTCAATCTGACATGTGTTCTTGTTTCTGAATTGCCCTTTTAGCATCAACACATTCAGTACTAGTTGACCTCTGTATTCCGACAAATTCAATTGACCTCTGTATTCTGACACATTCAATTAACCTCTGTATTCCAACTTTAAGTTGATCTGTTATTCCAATGCATTAATTTGACCTCTGTATTCCGACAAATTCAATTGACCTCTGTATTCTGACACATTCAATTAACCTCTGTAATCCAACTTTAAGTTGATCTGTTATTCCAATGCATTAATTTGACCTCTGTGTTCTGACACATTCAATTAACCTCTGCATTCTGACACATTCAATTAACCTCTGCATTCTGACACATTCAATTAACCTCTGTAATCCGACACATTCAATTAACCTCTGTAATCCGACACATTCAATTAACCTCTGTAATCCGACACATTCAATTACCGGTAACCTCTGTAATCCGACACATTCAATTAACCTCTGTAATCTGACACATTCAATTAACCTCTATTCCGACACATTCAATTAACCTCTGTAATCCGACACATTCAATTAACCTCTGTAATCCGACACATTCAATTAACCTCTGTAATCCGACACATTCAATTAACCTCTGTAATCCGACACATTCAATTAACCTCTGTAATCCGACACATTCAATTAACCTCTGTAATCCGACACATTCAATTAACCTCTGTAATCCAACACATTCAATTAACCTCTGTAATCCGACACATTCAATTAACCTCTGTAATCCAACACATTCAATTAACCTCTGTAATCCAACACATTCAATTAACCTCTGTATTCTGACACATTCAATTAACCTCTGTATTCCGACACATTCATCTCTATGGATGTACACACCAAAGACCTCTCTATTCTGACACACTTGCATGACCCAAGTACTCAGCTTTGTGTATATCATGTCCTAATAGGGTCAAAATATTATGTAAAGTTAGTATTATAAATCAATCAACATTGCACCTATTGATACCATATTTTGAAATTAATCTACTATAGCATTATTGAAATTCATACACAACTATCTGTACTGGGGGAAGTCCTGGTCAAATCTTACCAGCAAATCATTATAGTTCTCATTATGACATTTATATATTTGTACATGTGACGAGTTAGCTAGTTTTATCTCCTGCATATACAGTACAGCTTTCATGCTGCTTCACCCATTTATCACGTTTTTACTGTACCACACTGATCGGTTCAGCCATAGTAATTAAATTATTTTGTATTAGATCATTTCATTTCAATAATGATCTCGCAGACATGGGTGGTTATTAGAAGTTATCCGCCGATGTTGTGTTTTTCTGGTGTATGTTAAGTTTGCCATCGCAGTGGTTGAAATGTGCAATGTGAGCCATAAAATATGTAACTAGAACGATGTCAACGGACGACACTAATGCGCTCACGATGTGCATCATGATGTGATGGCAGACCTCAATGAATATAAATATAATGACATGGAAATGTCACACAATGTCTTTAAATATTCATGCATTATCAACACGCCATTCATCAAAAGTCACTATTTTCAGATTGTGTACTTTTGAAAGGATTATTTTATACAATTTCTGCCAAAGTATATATCCAGTCATCCATGAAGGAAAAATAATAGCATTAAGTATTAAATAAGGAACTATAATTACATGTATGTATATTACTATACATGATATCCAGAGTTTTTGTGAGAAATTTATTTCAATAAAATGACACTGCATATGAACCGCTGTACTCTGTTTCTATGTGATCTAACTCAATCATTTTACCATAAACCCAGTTATTAGTCTCCGTTCGGACGTAGTCCGAAAACGGGGACTTATGTTTTGCCCTGTGTGCTTTCGTGCGTCCGTGATCACCTGTATCTCGAACATGCATGGACCGATTAAGTTCAAACTTCACTCATACATCGCACATTATATGGGACATATGCACATGCATTTTTTTCATGATCCGATTATCGATAGCCGAATCAAAATCGCACATTTTCACCATTCTGGACCCGGATCTCAGTTATGCATGGACGGATTTTGTTCAAATTTGGTACATACATTAAACATAATAGAACCTTGATGCACGTCATTTTTTTTTTCGGATCAAGTTCGAAATGGCCGACTGGCAGCCATTTTGTTTTAAAGAATTCAGTTCTGGATCCGTATCCAAGACATGTCTGGATTGATCAAGTTCAAACTTCACGCACACATGATACATCATGTCACATATAGATATGTGCATTTGTTTCATGATCCGCTT